TTCCGATTCGGAGTCCCGAACGCAGCAAGTCCATATAAAATCTATGACTCGCCATAGATTTTATATGGATTAGGTGGAATGGCAACCTGATTACGAACCGTATCTCGTCGTGCATCGGAGCGTGCCTAAATACGACACGAGGTTCTCTGGTTTCGGTTGGAATAAGGTATCCTAAATTTGTATAAAACTTGGTCCTATTAAATAAAAAGTAACAAAAGTAAAACCTATAATATGTTTATAAATAACTACATGATATAATCAGATTTTTCGTTTTAAGTTAAATTAGATTTTCAGTAAGTATTTAAAATCTAATTTAACTTAAAGCGAAAAATCTTTTTAAACGTTTAAACGTAATACTTAAACTTGATACGTGGTAGAACCATGCTGCAGCTATATTAATAGTATAGTAGTAGTGCGAATGGGTCGGCTCGACTGGGGAAGGACCACGCTCTCACAGAATACCAGCATAAAATAGCAGCTTAATGCTACTGCGTTTCGTATGGTGAATGTCTCTACATTACATACATCTCTAACCGGAGACCCTTTTTACTGGAAAAGAGGCATTCCATCTTAGTCCTTACGGCTGACAACGCATCTGCATTTTAATTCGCATACGAAGATAGATGTAGATGTCTATGGGCCGCAGCACTCACTTACCATCAGGTGGACTGTGTGTTCGTAAGTCACCCTTATTCTATAAAAAAAATATACAAATAAAATACATAACAATTTCAGTAGTTATATATACTATGACATAAACAAACTATATCTGAAAAGTAATAAAAACTCATAAATTGACTCATTTTATCAAATAATAATATGGAAACAACGGCATTAGTACCGTAGACCTATCTACTAGATGTCCAAAAAGAGTATCACGTATTTGTTTTAGCGCTGAAGTTGACTCGGAGTTGCGGAGGGGCGCGGGGAGGGGATCGTAAAGTCCGCCATTTTGTGAAGTTTTAGTCGCAATGGAGCTGTACCCGGGGACGTATTGCGTTTTTCGCGTACGAGCGTACTATTGTAACGGTGATTCAACAGTGACTGCTCAACTTTTGTATTGTGCGGAATTTGTACACGCAATGCACCAAGTGACGATAGCATTGAAATGGATCCGGATGTTCGAAAATGCAGGTGCGACGGTAAAAATTCAAAACTCTGGTCGCCCTCGTTCAGTTCGTCAAAATCCGACTCTCCATCCGAAAGCGACGGCAAGCATTGACCATCAATAATTAAAAATTAAAAATTTTGTACAGCCGACTTCAATATGAGTTATTAAGAATAACTCAAAAACTATTGGTCTGACCTTGATCAAATTCATATGGGACCACACGAGAAGTACCAGCTTTCAAATAAAAAAAGAATCATCCAAATCGGTTCACCCAGTAAAAAGTTATGAGGTAACACACATAAAAAAAACATACAGTCGAATTGACCGAGTACCGTCTCCTTTTTGGAAGTCGGCAGAAAAATCGTCTTTGCATTCGATTTTAAAGAAAGATTTGCATTTAAAAGCGTATGAAATTCAATTGGTTCAAGATTGAAAGATATGGCGGACTACGTAAATCGATTGAATTTTGTAAAGGAAATGCTGCGGCGATTCAAGAACTTTGAAAACATACTGTTTAGTGACGAAGCCAACGTTCACCTGAATGGGCATGTAAATAAGCAGAATTGACGATACTGGGCAGAGGAGAATCCAAGACGAAAGCATAAACGACCCCTGCACAGCCCAATTGTCGTAGTGTGGGTCGCTATGTCTGCTAAAGGCATTAGCGGCCCTTATTTTCATTAAGATCGACGAGACCGACCGCTCAATGTGAATAGTGACTGTTAGTGCGATATGCTGCGAAACTTTTTGAGCCTAGAATTGTAGGAGTTTCAAGGTTTCAACTCAAGAACACGGTTTCAACAAGACGGGGCCATTTGCCATATATCTAAATTATTCTCTAAATTATTCTCGCCAAACGCCCAACGTAAACTATTTATAGATTGCCCCACTCGACCGCTCACAAAAACATCTTAGAACAATAGAAATTTGTATGCAGTGTAGTTCGCTTAAGGCCGGCCACAAATATACGGAATTCCGTTTCGATATTCCGATTCGGAGTCCCGAACGCAGCAAGTCCATATAAAATCTATGACTCGCCATAGATTTTATATGGATTAGGTGGAATGGCAACCTGATTACGAACCGTATCTCGTCGTGCATCGGAGCGTGCCTAAATACGACACGAGGTTCTCTGGTTTCGGTTGGAATAAGGTATCCTAAATTTGTATAAAACTTGGTCCTATTAAATAAAAAGTAACAAAAGTAAAACCTATAATATGTTTATAAATAACTACATGATATAATCAGATTTTTCGTTTTAAGTTAAATTAGATTTTCAGTAAGTATTTAAAATCTAATTTAACTTAAAGCGAAAAATCTTTTTAAACGTTTAAACGTAATACTTAAACTTGATACGTGGTAGAACCATGCTGCAGCTATATTAATAGTATAGTAGTAGTGCGAATGGGTCGGCTCGACTGGGGAAGGACCACGCTCTCACAGAATACCAGCATAAAATAGCAGCTTAATGCTACTGCGTTTCGTATGGTGAATGTCTCTACATTACATACATCTCTAACCGGAGACCCTTTTTACTGGAAAAGAGGCATTCCATCTTAGTCCTTACGGCTGACAACGCATCTGCATTTTAATTCGCATACGAAGATAGATGTAGATGTCTATGGGCCGCAGCACTCACTTACCATCAGGTGGACTGTGTGTTCGTAAGTCACCCTTATTCTATAAAAAAAATATACAAATAAAATACATAACAATTTCAGTAGTTATATATACTATGACATAAACAAACTATATCTGAAAAGTAATAAAAACTCATAAATTGACTCATTTTATCAAATAATAATATGGAAACAACGGCATTAGTACCGTAGACCTATCTACTAGATGTCCAAAAAGAGTATCACGTATTTGTTTTAGCGCTGAAGTTGACTCGGAGTTGCGGAGGGGCGCGGGGAGGGGATCGTAAAGTCCGCCATTTTGTGAAGTTTTAGTCGCAATGGAGCTGTACCCGGGGACGTATTGCGTTTTTCGCGTACGAGCGTACTATTGTAACGGTGATTCAACAGTGACTGCTCAACTTTTGTATTGTGCGGAATTTGTACACGCAATGCACCAAGTGACGATAGCATTGAAATGGATCCGGATGTTCGAAAATGCAGGTGCGACGGTAAAAATTCAAAACTCTGGTCGCCCTCGTTCAGTTCGTCAAAATCCGACTCTCCATCCGAAAGCGACGGCAAGCATTGACCATCAATAATTAAAAATTAAAAATTTTGTACAGCCGACTTCAATATGAGTTATTAAGAATAACTCAAAAACTATTGGTCTGACCTTGATCAAATTCATATGGGACCACACGAGAAGTACCAGCTTTCAAATAAAAAAAGAATCATCCAAATCGGTTCACCCAGTAAAAAGTTATGAGGTAACACACATAAAAAAAACATACAGTCGAATTGACCGAGTACCGTCTCCTTTTTGGAAGTCGGCAGAAAAATCGTCTTTGCATTCGATTTTAAAGAAAGATTTGCATTTAAAAGCGTATGAAATTCAATTGGTTCAAGATTGAAAGATATGGCGGACTACGTAAATCGATTGAATTTTGTAAAGGAAATGCTGCGGCGATTCAAGAACTTTGAAAACATACTGTTTAGTGACGAAGCCAACGTTCACCTGAATGGGCATGTAAATAAGCAGAATTGACGATACTGGGCAGAGGAGAATCCAAGACGAAAGCATAAACGACCCCTGCACAGCCCAATTGTCGTAGTGTGGGTCGCTATGTCTGCTAAAGGCATTAGCGGCCCTTATTTTCATTAAGATCGACGAGACCGACCGCTCAATGTGAATAGTGACTGTTAGTGCGATATGCTGCGAAACTTTTTGAGCCTAGAATTGTAGGAGTTTCAAGGTTTCAACTCAAGAACATGGTTTCATCAAGACGGGGCCATTTGCCATACATCTAAATTATTCTCTAATAAGGTCATTTTACATGGGGGTAACATCAACTGGCCTTCCAGAAGCCCCGACCTTAGCCCGCTTGACTATTTCGTATGGGGATATCTTAAAAATAATTTTAGTAGTAAGGAATAATCCGACAAACTTAACGCAATTGAAACCAAACATCTGGTCAGAGATTGCAGCAACATCGAGTGCTATGTGTCAACGTATTATCACCAATCTTTGTTCCAGATTAGAAGAACGTCCGCAGCGTAACGATCACCAATTGGATAACATTATCTTTTCGAAATAATTTCCCATTTTGTATTCTAATAATCAACAACAAAAAATTATTTAGTACTAGTAGGTTTTGTTTCATTGAAGTAACAAACACCTGATACTCTTTTTGGATATTTTGTATGACCGTGGTTTATTTTGTATAAATTTACAGAGGAGTAACTTTGCATAAAGTGGTTGATAATAAAAAAAATCCAACAAAGAGTCGTTTATAGTAAATGTATAACGCAAGGGCCATGGTAAATTAATTAAATTAGAAATCAAGCAATACTTATATATTTGTATTTTAAAACAAAACCTAGACACGTGATATGTGGAGATTTGACAACTTTACAAGCAAGACAGTATGGTTTTTAAGTTACTCGATATTGGTTTCCCTTCATTCAGCTTAGTTTATGATGTCATTTTGTGGTGAAATAATATTAATATAATAATAACTTTTTGTTTACTCTTTTAACTTACTTAAATAAACGTTTCAATTTGATAGTGAATTAAATAAGTTTAACTGAAAGGTTAACGACGGCAGCCATACTAGTTACAACTGTCACAGTTGCTTTCATCTTCCGTCTTCTTTTCCGCCTTCCTTTCGTCGTTGTCGTCGTCTACAAAATATAGAAAGAAGTTGAAACGGTTTCAAAATTAGCATGGATTATAAAAAATGTACGTGTGTGTGTGTGTGTGTGTTGGGCAGGTGTCGCACAGCGTGGAGCTGCGCGCGCAGGGCTACCGCGCGGCCGTGCTGCCGGGCGCCTTCGTGGTGCACACGCCGCACGCGCCCTCGCACGACATCACCGCCTTCCGAGCGGACCCGCGCTACAGGATGTTAGTATACTGTTTTTTTTTTTTCAAAATAATTGTATCATTTTTATGATTATTATTATCAACAATGCACACACATACACACACACGCACGTGCACACCTATACACGCACGCACCCACACACACGCACGCACCCACACACACGCACGCAAGTGCGCACATACACTCACACGCACGCACATACACACACGCACCCGAGCGCGAGCGCGCGCGCTCACATACACATACACACGTGCACACACGCGCAAACATACACACACACACGTACGCACGCAAGCGCACACACACACACGCACACACGCACACGCACGCACGCACGCACAATAAACCTGTCTGACGCAGATAGATATACAATTCTTTATTGTGGGAAAAAAAGCCCACGTCCAACTGTGTTATTACTATTTTTGTCTTATGAATTATGATATAAAAACTTGATTCCAGATGCCTCGCCATTTTGAAACAAGAGTTCATGGATGATTTGAAAAGGAAATACAACGTGACCTTCGACGAGCCATCCAAACCGGACTCGATTTACTTGGGGCAGGCTAAAAGTTTACTGCTCAATCAGAAAAACAAAGACAAATAGACCCATGTTTTAGACAGACATACGTTATAACAGTTTTATGGTTACAACACTAATACTAGTAGCGGTTGTGAATGAAAAAATAATCGAATCTTTTTTACTTTCCCATTAATAGAACGCTAAAGCTGTAGTCCTATGGCGTCGCCAGCCGATGGCCCAAGTAGGGGTGAGGGAGGGGGGGGGGGTGTAAGTAGATATATGTATAGAGGATGGGAAAGTGTCAGTACAAGAGCACATAAAGCTTTACGCTTCTATCGTGAGTCTTACCTCTACGACAATTGTAATAAGTTCGATACGAATTCCAACTTTTTTTGGCTGTAATCTATGGATACTTGCAATCAAGTTTAAGATATGTAACTATACTGTTAGTCTATACCTGTGATGCCAGATCATAACAGTAGATACACTGCGAAATACCTAAGACGTTGGTACCTACCCAAGCAAACTCCTAGGCAAATAAGGAGTCACTCAGTGAAGTCGTTAGTTTAGTCGTCAACAAATGACTATAACTATATTACAATCGTTTAGTAAAAACAACTAATGTAAATGGGGTTTTTAATTACAACGACATTTACTACAATTATATGTCAATAACGTAAGTATTTTAACTAGAGAGTATAATAGGTATTTTTATAAAGTTATATATTCAATCAGTTCTGTAGTCAGTAAAATAGCAGCTTAACACTGCTGTGTTTCTTATGGTGAGTGTAGAGAACCGGAGACCCTTTTTACTGGAAAAGAGGCATTCCATCTTATTCCTCACGAGTGACAACGCATCTGCATTTTGATTCGCAAACGAGGGTAAATGTAGATGTCTATGGGCCAAAGCAACCACTTACCATCAGGTGGACTGTGTTCGTGACTGTGACTCGTCTGTCACCCTATCCCATAAAAAAAATATGCACAAACGATCTTACAGAAACAAGGAAAAAGAGGCGAAGTAGTGAATAAAAACAGTTTTATTTTTAGGGTTATTTAATTAAATTAAGACATGATATAAAGCTGATATAAACACAAGAATGTTGAGAAAACATTGTATTGTAAAACATCGTATTGTACATAACACGACAACAGATTTTAAATTTAGAAAAAGAAAGCAAACGTCAGTGAAATTCTTTACAATATTTATTTATAAAATCAACACAGCGGAACGAAAGCTAGAAACTAGAAAAAAAATTAAAATGCTTCGTGTTTCACATTATACAGGTTGGGAAAAAACGAACGGGTCGTGGGGGGGAAAGTACATTAAATATTAAAGATATCAAATTTCACTCGAAGGAACCATGCCTTTATTTTTCAAAATAAGAATAACCACATTTAAACATTTTTTTTAAAAATCTTTGAACCAGGAATTGAACTAACTAAAAATGCAAAAAATATAGACAATCACTTTTTTACCAATTGATATGATGGGATATGATCAGGATAAAATCTCTCGAATAAGTATTGTATCTTACAATACTCATTACAGATAAAATTTAACAATTCGTACTTAAACGACTTAGGTGTTTTCTCGCCAAACGCACGACGTAAACTATTTATAGATTGCCCCACTCGACCGCTCACAAAAATATGTTAGAACAATAGAAATTTGTATGCAGTGTAGTTCGCTTAAGGCCGGCCACATACATACGGAATTGCGTTTCGATATTCCGATTCGAAATCCCGAACGCAGCAAGTCCATATAAAATCTATGACTCGCCACACACACACACGTACGGTATTTTTCCTTACGGAATTTTCTTCGATTCGAAATTCCGTATGACCACCTGTGCGTTCGGGATCCCGAACGGAAAAAAGCCGCTCCGAACGCACGTCTTCCATAGATTTTGTACGAGTCGCAACACACATACGTAAATTCCGTACGGAACACGCTCAGTGTTCGTCGCACGACCGAATCGAGTAGGTGTGTTTATGTATGTTTGTACATTTAATCTTATAGGTGTATAGCTTTTCGTAACCATTCATCTTATTTTATTAATTAATATATTTAAAAATTATCTCTGGATATATATCTTTTTACATAATATTGACTATATTGCAAGCTTAGGGTGATAAGGGGATGCACCCAGTAAGAATAATACAGCAACAATGGAATCGCAATTAGAAAATCGTCGTCATTTTTCGCTGGCAGAACGTCTATAGTCAATGGCTAACGTCTCTCGACTGACCCTAGTTATTCCGAACGGAAAAAAACGTATGTGCGTGATGTATTCACGGAATCCCGATTCGGGATTCCGAAACGGAATCACGAAACGGAATTCAGTATGTATGTGGCCGACCTAAGACGCCACATTACGGCCTTGTCTTTGATCTATGTTGTTCAAAGATTAGAAGAAAATACAAACAGCATTTACTTTTTAATTTAATAGCGAATCGTGACTACCCACCAAATGGGCACACGGGGTCAGCTGACCCACGTGCATGCATAAGCTGTCAACCCCCTGCGGGTGCCATGACACTTGAGGGGCTAACGAACTCACATCCTAACCTAGACTGGTTATTTTTTTAAAGTAAAAGACCCTTTAGTTTCTTCCACCCATTATAAACGGTAGACCCTGTATAATCGACCTGTATAGGCGCCACCAAAGCAATTTCTATTTTTACAGAAAATAAAAAGCAATTAACTTTTGAATAAATTAGAAACTAAATTAAAACTGATATTCAAAGAGTTGTCTGAAAATAGTGGTAATAACTTTATTGTGAATTATGTACATGTTTGTAATTTATAGGTAAAGATTTTTAATATGACATTTATTTAAAAGCATCTATCAGATTTATAACAAATATTGTATGCCTAAACGTTTTTCGAGTCAATAACTATATATATTAGGACTAAATATGAGAATCTCTGTATTTAACGTTTTTAATCTAACTTACCATATTTAATGCAAGTAAATGATTTGATTTGATTTGATAGCAGTAAACAAATCGAAAACAATTTTGAGACAAATAATAGACTATATCAAAATTTGTTGCCGGAAAAAAGTGCGAGAAAAGATAAAAAACACAAGAATTGACCTGACCTACCCTAACACGTGGTGTGTATAAGTGAGATGCAATCTTAGATTTTGTTGCTAGTCTGAATGACACAATGTTTTAACACTATTCTTGAGACACCTTAAAAATACAGTTTTCATAATTTTTAACTAATTTAAGGACCTTAAGTTGGCATCACTGCCGTGACACCAGGCAACTCTTGCTTTTAAGTTACATAATATAAGAATTTCGTTAAATACTCGTCGGATAATGTGCAAAATTCCAAATTTTAAATATTTGTAAGAAAAAATCTTAAACATAATAAAAAAAAAATAAGTTCTACACATATTTACTCTACTTTTATAATATTTAATACTAGCTGTCGCCCGCGACTTCGCCCGCGACTTCGCCCGCTTGGAATTTACTACAACGTTTAGTACGGGTTTTAATTTGTTTGCGCGGAACGCTAATTAAAGTGAAAGTCCCGTCCAAATCGGTCGAGCCGTTTTAGCCGGAACAAACAGACAGACAGATAAAAATTAAAAAAATGTTTTATTTTGTTATTAGTACTGTATATACTTTCATATGCATTTAGTAAAAAGCTGTTATTTTATAACTTATTTTAACCAAAAGCATTATACTTTTAGTTGTTTAAATCAATATTTAAATTAATAATTAATTATATATTATATTTACATTATTTTACCCATTAGTGATAAGAAAAATACTTTGAACTCGAATACTCATCGAATACTTGTTCTTAACATGTAAATAAAAACTATTAATGTTTCTTTGTGTATCTAAATTATGAATATTATCATTTATTTACGTCATTATTATCATTACGTCTGCGTGTATCCTTCATACATTCTTCTCCATAAACGTATGTTGAATTATACCTAGTTGTTAAATTTTTGAAGGAACTGTATCCGCAACGGGTGACAAGAGCATAGACATTGATTGAAGTAACTTAAGTTGCAAATATTATCTTGAATTTATCTACATGTCTGTATTATTAGAAATACCAAAGAATTTATACACATAATATGTTTTTATTATTATTTCCCGGTCTGAGAGCCTCAGTTAAATGCTACCAAAACAACCACCACTGAAACATTAAAAATGTAATTTTAAGAACTAATTACACATGAGCATAACAACGTGACTGGCTAGTATTAAAGAGTCATAATGAGATTCTGGAAAAGCTTTTATTTTAAATATTGTTAAACCAATCTGTATATTATTATTATTATTGGTAAGTGAATATTTTTAAATATTTAAATTAGACAATTTATAAAGTATTATATAATAATAAATATACACAAAGTTTTGTAGCATGTTTCTGATCTAAATGCGATTAGTAAGTTGTCGTTGTTATTTGGACCGTGTTGTGCTGAAATGATCCAAACCACAAACTGGCCAAAATAATGATCCAAAGGCCACAAATCTTTAGTGTTGCCATGTTCCTATGATTTGTTTTTTTTTCTTATAAATTAATTATTTTAAAAACTAGGAACCTTCCCAAATTACTAAAACTGTTAACCATAACCGCCTTTGTTAGGTAATAGTAGGTCCAGTAAACAAATATAAAATATAAAAAGAAAAAGCTACAGGCAGCCATAATCCTTCTTGTATTATTCTTAAAACAATTATAATCAGTCCAGTATTGGATGAAGAAACTGGGGAATATAAGATGATGATTTCGTCTATGACTTTTTTCATTTAAATAATTAATCTGATATTCTCGGTTCAAGCACAGCGCGACAGGAATATATCGTTAAAAACCTATTCTTTAAAAGTCTTATCGCCCAGATATCTCCTTAAATTTAATGTATGAAATATGAATGAACTCAAAAAAATTAACTCATATAGAACTCATTAAAAAAAATATAATACTCAAATATAGTATGTAATCGTAACACTTTTCCCTTTAAAAATTACTTGTAAAGTTAAATTAACTCAAATATTTTGTGTAAAATACATTTTCTAAAAAAAGCACTGACTGATAATAAGCTAACATTCTTATTTGCGATTATATTTTGTGGGTAGAATATCATAAAAGTAAGAAAAAAAAGCCTAACACGTTCCTATTATTGTTCGGACAAATCAAAAGCACTCGGTATAATAATGTAAGGTACTGTTAATGTGATTTCGCTTTAAGATCGTACATATAATGTAGCTTTTATATTGTTTCCTATTATGGCCAAAGTTGAAATATAATTATATCATTCCTAATTAAAAAATATTTTTGTTAATGCAAACGTTTCTTTTTATATGTAATATCATAAGCACCTTTTAAAAAATATAAGAAAACCATTTTATTGTTTTATTTGTCTTAATATCTTCTAGTAGATATTTTATAACAAATAATATCAACCGTTTAGTGACTGATTACGAATATCCCCCATATCGCCCCGTGAGTTCTGTAAGAGCCGACATAGGGAAACTTAAACAAGAAATGCAGCAACATCCTCTCGGTAACAATTTATAATAATAAAAAACCAACCTTGACACCTTGCCAACCTACTCGCCAAGCGTGGGGGGAAGTTATGGGGGAGGGTTAGTTCAGTAGTTGTTTTTATATGGATTGATGAATGGAAATTCATTAAAAATGGCATTTATAATCATATATAACAGCTTGAATGGAATGGGTTTCCGCAAAGTAACGGCCGATTCTATTAATTAGATAAATATCACTATAACGAATATAAGGATATAAAATGCATGTTATAAGAAACGTTTTTATCATATAGTTTTATATCAAGAGTATTTATTTAAATTGTAACCCGTCTAGTTTCGAAATGTCAAATTATTTACATTTATTTTACGAACGGTTTATATTCTATGGCAATTATAAGGGTTGTGTAAAAATGTATAATAAATTAAACAATTGAAATTTACGTCTCATTTATTGCCCGTATTGTGCATGTGTGGAAAAACAAAATTAAAAGCGGTCAGTCACCGCAGTCTACTTCACCTGAGAATGTCTCGTTTAGAGGCGAAACACGTAGTATTTTTATCGACGGTGGTGAGTATTTCCTAAAGTAGTGGTGTTGGAAGTAGTGTTGGGATTAATGGTGACGAGGATATGGTGAACACAGTCGAGGCGGGCGGGAGGTGCTATTCAAAGGTAGTAAAGTTAGGTAAGACATTATATTAAATATCGTAATGATTATAATTAAGTTTAGTTTATTGTTTTTATTAACTCGCTTTCGTGTATGTCCGTTCGGGTCGAATGCAATTGATTTTAAACTAACTTCTCTAGATACTTGAAATATTGAACATAGCTCAGAATTGGATGACAATGTAAGAAAAACAACGAGGCATATTAAAATAAATTAATACAAAGGTATTTATTTAAATTACACTTTGTTAAGTATCAAATATTTTATGTTTTAATTCTAACAGTAAGTGTATAAACGTCCACCGAGCACGGACATTAACGAGGAATATGGCGCGAGAAAAGGCGATCGCGATCGCGCTGCTCCAGTGAATGTTAGCGGACTTCACATGTCCTCGAATATATTTGTTTTATTTAAAATAACGCAGAAAAAAGTAAATGGAGCTCTACACTCTATTGTGGGAAGTCAGAATGTGTCAAAAAAGCAGTGCGGATTATCCTTAAGGCAAACTAAAAAGAATTCGTCAATTTGATTACTCCTACGTCGCCCTCACTCTCCCACCATATTTTTCATTCACGCCCACCTGTTAAGGGTACTCATGTTATAATCATTTTGCAACTTTAAACTATATTATAAATTATAATATAGTTTATTTGCAAAATGAATAGTTATAATTTGTAATATATGGCCGGTAGAGGGTCGCCGATGAAGTGCTAGCCTAGGACGCTATCGATGTTTAATCTGCCTCAGCAAAAAGGCACGACTGCTTCAGCAAAGACACCTTAATATATGGTAGTGACAGTTGGGTGTGGCAGAAGAAGCACAATAGAGAATAAATGCTGTAGAAATGCGGTCATTAAGGAGTATGTTACGGCTGAATCTGAATGACAGGGTAAGAAATTGTGAGAAGTGTGGTTTGCAAGATCATGTTGTGACCAGAATTAAGAAATGAATGCTTCGGTGGTTTGGTCATATAGAAGTAATGAACGAGGAAATAGTTACCAAGCAAATCTATGTCGCAGAAGTGAGCGACAGAGTCCGGAAGGGACGCACTAGATGAAAGTTTATCGACCAAATTGGCTATACATTGAAGATTAAGAGTATATGGATCGAAAGAGGCGAGAGAGATTTGTCAGGATCGTGCCAATTGGAACTCCGTAGTCTGTGCTTACCCCTCTGAGTGACAGGCGTGAGTTTTTATGTGTATATCTTGAAAATGCAGATTTTGTCGCGGTGTTTTCCTTCACGTAGAAAAAGGCACGTAAAATTACAATTGATCGTGGTCAAACCGAAACGATTGCCTGGTAGACCGTACTGGCAGTTTGATTAAAGCCAAAATAAAAGTTTAAGCTGGGATTGTGTAAAATTAATATACTTGTTGTGAGTGAGAAACTTTATTTTATTTTTAAGATTGGATGGATTATGTACACTTAATTATAGATTTAATAAACTTCACTATTCAACATCCTAGACTCGGCATTAGCCAAAAAATTGTTACTCTTGGGATTTTCTTTCGAGATCAACAACCAAAGAAGTATAATGATCTGAAAGTCCAATTCTTGTATATCCTTCTTTAAAGTTTCAACCGCTTTCTTTGCAGTTACCAGTGGCGAGGTGTCGTTCATAGATGAACCTTTCAATTCTGTTTTTTGTTTAATATTTTCTACTTTTGCAGTTAACTCGTTCAACTTTTCTTGGCGTTCTGTAACTCCTACACTCACCTCTTTGTATTCATTGGTAACTTTATTTAATTCATTTAAAAGGGACCCATACTCCTTAACTAACGGTTCAAATTGTTCATTTAAAATATTTTCTCGCGCGGAAACTTTATCCATTACTGAGCTAATATTACTGTGTAGTTTATTAATTTGTGAACCAGTAGTTTTAAGCCTTTCAAATAGTTCATTTTTATAGGTTTCCATTTGAGCTAGTCTTGCGCGCCAGTCTCGTCCATCAGCAGATATTTTCAATCTCAAGGCGGGTGCTACTCTCTCCAGTTCAAGTTTCCACTCTTCCCAATCATGGACCATTGTAACAGAATTCATTGACTCTTTTTCAACTTTATTCTCCTCTTCTGACTCATCAGTATAAACGGCCATTTCTTCTTCAACTTTGTCGAGAAAAATTTCAGTTTCGTCTTCAATTTGATCAACGTCATCAGTTGATTCCTCGGGATCGGGAATATCTACAATAGGTTTCTGCCATTCGAAATTTTCTTTTTTCAACGCTTCATCCGCTAGAAGGTTTAAAATATAACAAACTTGCTCTCCATATCCTTGCTTAACTTTATGAGAAGAAAAATCAACTGTTATATCTCTTTCACGTAGAACATCTAAAATGCTCGCTATAGTTGCATTAGGGTCGTCTTCTTCATTAGGTTGTTCAAATTCTTTACCAGTTTTCCGTATAAGCCAGGCAGCGGTGGAGGCGAAAACGAAGAATTGCTCTATAGGATTAGTTGATGTAAGAAAATAATATCGGCTCATAGGTTTCATTTTGATCTGTGGGCGCAGTTCTAAATCGATGTTAAGCAAACGTAATTTATCCATTACGTTCAGATCCATGGTTAGAGGCTAAAAAGAATAATTTTGAAGTTAATTATGACTATCATGCAACAGAATTAATAGCATACCAGTTATGCTCTACTGTTCCGATGGGTCGTACTAAATGGAATCGCAAATTGTGGTGGAACGTAAGGATAATGCGGTTATTGTATTGACAGTAATTTATTTAGCTGTTATTTAGCATTAAAATGGACAATCTATCGAACACATAACGGAATTCCTTTGTTTTCAGACAAAAGAAAATTAGCATCATTTTCCATGACCAAGACAAGAAAAGTAAATGGTATAATTATGTTAATAAAATCAAAGCCATAGCTGCCACAGAGCACGATTCTTAGCCATCCATCGGCCTTGAACGTTTTATAAGGAACTTAACTAGTTCGCTCTAACCTAGCTGGTGGTACTGGGCTAATGCTTAATAACGTTACTTCTCCAGGGATTTTTAATTTTACGTAGAGTTTAATAGTAATAATTGTATAAATATATACTATAGCAAACTAGTGGAAAATCCTGATAAAATGTTCAAGGCCGATGGATGGCTCAGGATCGTGCTCTGTGGCAGCTATGGCTTTGTCCATAGCATGTTGATTTTATTAATAGCTGTAGTTAAAAGTGATAGCAGTGGTGGCAGGACCCCTTTCCTGCCTAGGAGTACGTCTAGGTAAGTATCACCCTTTTACCTATTTTCCAAACAGTAGTGCCTACATTGCAGTGTTCTGGTTTGAAGAGCATAGAGAATCAGTATAATTACAGGCTGTCAGGTATTCTCATCTCATCAAAAACTAGCCCCTGCAATACAGGTATAATATTGTTGCGCGCCACTATTAATGTCTTGTACATGGCAAGACTAGTTACCACTAGCGCCCTCTAGTATCGAGTAGCAAAACTAGGAGAGACAAGATCCTTCTAGAAATTTCGGGAACGATACGTACTCGAACATTCTAGATGTCTCTACAGTAGAAGGTTCTGGAAACTATCTGAGGCCCTATATAAGGGCGGTATAGACCACGACCGAGGAGTATTGAATTGGCGATATACTTTGAAGCGAAATAACTGCGAACTAAAGTGATCAATAGTACAATTGTATTTTATTATTAGTGTGGTTTTAGATTGTAATTAGTGTTCAATAATTAAAGTGTCAATTTTGGTAATTCAATCGGCAGTTTATTGTCTCGAACCCCAAACACGTAACAATATCCTAGTTTAGGGGGGTAGTTCTTCAGAGACAAAATTTTCGATTTCTATGGATATATTTCCTGTAACCAACTAATAAAACGGCATGTATTTTTTTTTTGGACTGTTTTATCTGTATCTCTATCTGGGACAAAATATATTTTTCAAATAATTGCTGTCTAGGTACAGAATAAAAATATTTGAAGTTTGTTCTTCTGATTCATATAACGCGTCCGTTTGCCATTTTCCGGAACAAAATGGTCGATGTCGCATTTTTCCTTTGATAAATCAATATAAATAATAATTATATCGAAAGGAAATGAATTGCCCTCCTACAAAAAAAAATGGGTATTAGTTATAACTACGTTAGTGTGTTTATAAATAAGTAACTAAGAAGTGTCCGACGTATAATACTGATTAATGTGGCGTAAGCTGCGCTTGACCGTACTTGGTCGGGTAATAATGAGAGTCTGGCTTCCTGCGCGGGGGGACGCCAGTCGTGCAACGAACGAGCTAGAAGGCGGACGTGCGGCTTTTTGGCTTAGATCCCGGTGTTACGAAGGTAAATATCTGATTCATCTATGCTTGGTTCAGGTGGCATTCTGATTACACTGCCTACTTTATAAAATTTATTTTATTGTTTTAAAACTTCAATCTGAGTTTCGTAAGGTGTTCTTGGGTTATAAATTCATGTAAAAAGATAACAATACTAAAGTCTGTATGTATGATGAGTTATGCATGATTGTAGGCAAAATCCTGATTCATCTGTGCCTGATTCATATGGTCAAAACCCCATATAAATCATAAAATGAATTAGTTTTCGTCTCTCTAGCACAAAACGAGCGCTTTTGTTGCCTAATCCTTGTCCAATTTTTGAGCGTGTACAAGTCAGTAGTTCTAGTCTTATTTATTATAATTACTTAGATACAACCTTTTGAATGATTAAAAAATCACAGGAGTATAAATTTATTCTACATATGACACTTTTGATAGGCCTTAGTCTTAGTTAAGAATTAATAATTATTATTTAAGAATAACAATCACAACTAACAGTGTATTTATTACTTAAAATAATGTAAAGAAATTGAGACCAGTATTATTTAAATGGCACTTTTGACATTAATCTTCCGTATTAACAACCATAAAACCTACTTATTCATTAATCTCTATCTAATTTCTGTTATTTCAATATTACAGTCCATAACAATGCCACAAACTAAAGATCAAAAGAAGGAGAAAAAGAGAATCGCAGAACGTAAAAGGATGGAAAATATAAGAAAAGATCCAGACAAGTATGCTCTGTGGAAATTAAAAATGAAAGAAACATATTTGAAAAGAAAGAGAGAAGGTAAAATCATATCAGTTCAGAATTTGACACCGAAACAACAAAAATTAGCTAGGAAGAAAAGCAGAGAAAGTACTCGAAGATGGTATGCTAAAAAGAAATTATTAAAAGAACGTGATGTTCATTCAGAAGAGGAAATCATTGACGAATGTGATCCAGCAGACGATACCGAAATAAATGATCCTTTAGATTTGAAATTACCATCATCTCCAGAAGTTTCGATTATACCAAGATCTCCGGATATTCCCAGCTCATCACAGGTATTAACTCAGTTTTCACCACATTCTGCACGTATAACAAGATCAACAATAAGACAAAAGAGGACACTTGGAATTGATTTGAACCTAACAGAAAATGAAACCGATATCTCATCCAATGCTGACGTCCATTCGAGAATAATATCGCCTTCACCAAATACTTCGATATCAGATTCACCAAGGACTCCCAGCCCACAAAGTAGCATCACATCGTCTCCACGACGTGTCGTCAGCCCAAAAGTTTATAAAAAAGCTGCACGGGAAACACCTCTTAAAAAGAAATCGCCTTGGAAACATATTTTACGAAAGTTTCAATATAGATATACTAAAGAAATACAATTGAAAGACCAAAAAATTCTGGAACTTAAAAGAGTAAATGAAAATTACCGGAAAAAGGTAAAACGGTTAGAAAAAGATAAACGGGTAACAGACGTGCATAAAAGACAAAAGGAAAATCTACCTGGGAATGAAAAAATACAGATTGTTGTTGAACCCTGTGCTACCGGAATTAAAGAAAATGTCATTATGTATTTTGAAGAAGATGAAAACAGTAGAATGTGCGCGGGAAAAAAAGAATTTGTCACCAAAGGAAAAATAAGAAAACAGAAGCGATATCTTAGCGACAGCTTGCAGAATCTACATAAAAAGTATCTTGAAACCAATCCTCAATACAAAATAAGCTACAGTGCATTTTGCAAGCTTCGTCCATTTTGGGTACGTGTACCAAACGTCAATATTCGTGAAACATGTTTATGTAAAGATCATGAAAATATGGAGTTGGTCGTTGTAGCCCTTCGGAAAAATTATCTGATTGTGGAAAAATCTGTAAATGAGATTCTACAATCACTATGTTGTGATCCTAGGAATGTTCACTGTCTGGCTAAGAAATGTGATAGTTGCAAAAATAAGGCCATTAATTATAAAGAATTTGACAATACCAAAGAAATACATTACTTTATTTGGAACAAAGTAAAAAAAAACTTATATCAAAGATGGAAAAGAAAAAGCTACGCTTCAAACGATTAAGGCAAAAGTTGCAGCGCATCCCAAAGATATAATCGAACATTTCGAAAACCTGTTAGTACCTTATATGCGACACTGCGGAAATATTATAACTCAATATAATTATACAAAAAAATTGAAACAAAACCTGAAGCCTGAAGAATGCATCATACATTGCGATTTTAGTGAAAACTATAACACAAAATATGCCTCTGAGATTCAGTCTTTCCACTTTGGCAGTTCCAGACAACAAGTAACATTGCACACCTCTGTTATTTATTACATTAAAGATGGAAAACTGTGTAAGCAGTCATACTGTACTATCAGTGAATGTTTGCGCCATGATGCCGTCGCAATCTGGGAACATTTACAGCCAATTCTCCGATTTCTTGAAAACGAGGTGCCGGACGTAACAACATTTCATTTTATTTCGGATTCACCATCGGCGCAATATCGTAATCGCAAAATGTTTTACATAATGGCGAAAATGCACTGGTATTTTTCTAGTTTGCGATTATTAGTGTGGAATTATTCTGAAAAAGGACACGGGAAAGGGGCTCCTGATGGTGTCGGAGCAGTTCTAAAACGAACTGCTGACCAAATAGTTGCGAGAGGGAATGACATTCCAAACATTGAAATTCTTGTCAGACACCTAAAAGAACGCTGTCCAGGAGTTATTATAGAAGTCGTTTATGAGTCGGGCATATTAGAGAAAGATATGCTGATTCCCGAAAATTTAAAGGAATTCCGCGGGACCATGAGAACACATCAGGTTGTGTGGAGTGCCAATCAACTTCAGACTTTAGCTATGAGAGAACTTAGTTGTAGCTTGGACAATTGTTCACAAGAAGCCATTCAATGTTCTCACGGTCAACACATTGGTTTTTATACCATAGAAGACATTAATAAACAACAGAGTCACCACTCTGTTGTGTTAAACGTCAAATCCGCGGATAAAAGAAATGTGACATCGAAGAAATCTACATGCAGCTCTTTGATCAAACGTAGCCAAATATCTGCTACCGAAATTCAGACTGGAAAAGATACGGATACAACCCAACAAGACCTCGACCTTCCCGATGACGACAGCTTTTGGATGGAGACTTCGTCAATCGATGAAAGACTTATAACTCCAAAATTCACCAGAGATGTCCTATCGACCCTCCATCAGAAAAGCGTAGATGATCGCTCAGATTCTGACGACGAGAATATTTTTGTGTTTA